TGCATATCTTTCCCTCTATATATACACATCCAATGTCTCTGTTCTATACTACCTCGTTTGTTTTCTCTTGTACATATATATTCATAAATACTTTTTATCTTTTGCACCCATCATTATCTTTCTCTTTTTTTTCTGTTTCTTTTTTGCCCTCTTTTTTGGTTGGTTGGTTTGGAGACTTGCATTGCTTTTTTTTGTACACATAAACATACAAACATGGACTTTTCCTTTTTTTTCGTATGTACATATTTATTGAGGAATTCTGTTTGAGGTGTTCAAAAAGAGATTCTTATGGTGTTGTTATTTTTTTATCAATTTGAGTCATTGCGTCAAGTGATCTCCAAAAGCTTGCTTGAGCACTGGGGACAACCCAGTGTATGTATGTAGATGTTGAGTTGCTCTTACTCATCATGGTGAATACCAGGATACGGGAATAATACATGATTACGGGGTAACAAGGAAGTCATAAGTGATGAGACCATTCACCCCGAAAAAATGTGTGTAGGCCTTGTGTGGTGTCCAGACTCAATATGTACGACTTATCTGGTGTTAAGGAGACAATTATGGTTGTCGGTCCTTTGCAAGATTTATGGAGATGGTTTCTAATGAATTAAGATTTGATATCGAGGATGGATGCTGGCTCCGATTGGGAGGGAAAGCGCTCAACTTGGTGGTGCAGCGTCACCGAGTGATCCATGCAGAGATCCCATGGCGATGCCGATTGTACTCCTCGTTTTCATCACAGCTTCCGGCCAACCACCGGCCACGTTGCCGGATACATGATAGCCGGCTGCATACATACATCCTACCACATCACACCCGGTTACATAATTAAATACCGCTGAGCTGGGTGTGCCTCTGCAACCGACTTCACACCCCCTCCGATCGACTTGACAGTATACTCAGCTGGAGGGTTATGAGCCATCTTCCGGTGCCTTGGAGCACAATCTTCTCCAGGCTACCGTTCAAAGCAATCCGCCCCACCCCATTATCGGTCACCGAGTTAAGCTCGGTTTCATATGGTCCGGTAGACCGGCCTCGAGATCCATGCCGATATGAACACCAGGTAGTTGACTGCCTTCAGAATCCCTGCTTCGATCGATTGGCGCAACAGGGTGATGGTTTAAAAGGAGCACCTTTCGTTCAATTTCTTGTTCACCGCAAATCCCAAACCGCAACAAGTCATCCCAAATCCTTACATACATTTAAATATACAAGCAAGCGTATGATACATACAAACTCGTTTTCATAGACAAATCAAGAACTCTAGTAGTCAACGACTGTGTTACGAATTTCTGGATATCTCCTCCTCCTCATCCTATTAATAGCTTCCAGGATCCACTCCGATCGAAGAGATGTTCTACCCCGGATTCCACAAATGTCTAGTGCTTGCGATCTTCATGGGCACGATTTCCCAGATAGTTGCGGATACCAAGACCCCTCAGCCCCAGCCGAAACCGGGGCCCGGGCCGACCAAGCCCGGACCCGGGACCACTAGGACACAGCCTGCTCCCGCTCCCAATTCAAAAACGCCGCCGTGTGAGAAGGGCACAACCCCGGTTTGCGTCGCTGCAATTACCGATAAGATTTCCACAGAGAAACGTGAGTGTCTTGGCTTAACTCTCAATAACAAAAAAACAAAAAAACAAAAAATATGATGAAGACGCTTTCATGGGGTTCTGACTGGAATGGGAAATCCTTGTTCATGATATCCAGATAACCCGACCACCCCGGGCGGCAGTAATCCACAATGCACATCCGGGACCAAGATCTGTTGCTCTCCGGCGGTCTTGAAACACATCTCATCGGTCAAAAACAAAAGCAAAAACAAGAAACCTGACGACACAGTCTTTTCCAGTTTGTGCGCATTGCCAGGCAAAGCTCTGCCCGCCGGCGCGCCCAAGGGGGCGTCGGCGGCGGCGGTGACGGCTAAGGCACCCGCGGCCAAGCAACCAGCGGGCAAGCCACCTAAATAAGTCTTCCTAATAAGCTGGGTTTTCAATTCTACTGTCAAACCCTCGGCTTTCAATTCGAAAACAACCAATCGGCATCATGTTCCTTGTTCACCTGCAGTCTGGAATAGATTGACCTAATCAAAAAATACATCATTGACTCTGGTAGCATGACTTAAGATATATGCAGTGTATTTCTTCCTGGATCTTTAGAATGATCACTTGAATAAACTCAGTTTGAGAAACAAAAAAAAACAATTCTTATCCTCGTATTTTTTTTTTTCCCTCTGCTTGACTCGTCACAATTTCTTGACCAAGTTTTTTTTTTGTTTTTTGTTCAGTCTTTAATTTCACTCACAAGTGATTGTAAATAATGCTTTTGTTTATAGAAATATTTGTAAGATCAGCTCTGGATCAAAAATTTGAAAAAAAAAAAATCAATGCCAAGGATTTGCTTTTCGTTTCTAATTAGTTGAAGTTCTGCCGGTTGTTTTTCTGCTTCTTCTTCTTGAAAAGAAAAGGACACTGTTTCCTGGGGCTTCTCCCATAGCTTTCATTTCCTTCAACGTTGGAGATTCAGAAGGGCTAGTGATGAACTTAAGCTTTGAACCGGATGAACATCGTACCTGTCCGAGTTAAGCTTCGAGCAGTACTCATACTACGCTAAATAGCAAGTTTGAGTCAGTGACAAAAACAACGAGACTGAAAATCCCAATGTATATCAGATAGTTGCACAAGAGTATGGAGAAGGGAAGAACAAAAAATGATGCTAGATAAAAGTACATGGCAAAAGTCACAACAGCAAGCTAGTGAAGGTGATGAAAGGGGTGCAAGAAAAAACCTGATCCGAGTAGGAAGCCAACAGTGGCACTATAAATTGAATCACTTGCAGGTATGTTGAGCAACATTAATCTTCTGGGCGTATTTATTGCATGCCTGTCGTAGTTGAGATGCCGAAGCCTAATTAGCGCCGACGGCCGGAGAACAGACTGGCCAATAGCACGCCGCCAACAAGCGCCGCGCCACCTGCCAGACTAAGGCCGAGATAACCCTCTAAAGGGGGCCATTTTCAAAGCGAACCAAGATTAAAAAAAACATTCCAGAACCTCCCGGAATCAGTGAATCTGCTTACCTTGAGTGACCGCCTTTTCAATCAGCTGGGCTAACGATTTCGCTTGAAGGTTATGAGGTTCCTTTTCTAGTAATAGATCTGCCAACAAGCAATTCAAGGAAAGGGCAAAATAGAACAAAGTTCAATCAATCAAAGGTGACCAGGATGATCATGTATGGACCGATCAGAAGTGTGAAAACAAACCGTTAAAACGCTTTGCTTCGCTATAATTTCCTAGTTTGTAATGACCCAACGAAAGGTAATAGAGACATTCACGACGTCGAGTGGCATCAGTTCGATAGACATCTGAGAAAGACAGAGTAAAAGAAAAAAGAAAATGTATCAGTAATTTAGTAGGATGATGATGTGAATTTGAGAGAGAGAGTGCAAGAGGACACAAGAACGGACCCATGAGGATAGCGATCCCTTCGGACACCTGTCCTTGTCGTGCGTTCCCTTTGACGAGTCCCCAGGCAAGATTGAATTTGGTTTGAGTGGATATCCATCCCTTGGCCTGTTCGTTCTGATATTGCTCCCTCAAGACCGTCAGTTCTTCCGGCGATAGTCCCAGTGAAATGTCTGCTGCATATGGTAGCTTGTCAGTCGAGCTTGTTCCTGAAGTGACCATCCTTCCTTCTTCTCTTTTCGATATTGTCTTGGGGTTGTTTTGTCGATTTGTTGTGTCTCTTGAACAATGACTGGTCTGTTGGTGGATGCTTCAATTGGCTTGGCCGTGGCAGTGGCGACTTCTGGCTGCCGCTGAGGGGCTGTCCACAGGTTTGTGACAGGCTGGCTAGTGATAGCTTGTCGAGGGTGTCACAAAGATGTCACATTTATCCGCTCGTGAAATGTGTTTCTGGTGACAGGGGGTGACTGTTCTTAATAATAACTTACTTATTTATTTTTAGCAATCCTTCAATCACTTCACCGATCAAACCTGCATCAACCAAGAGAGATGAGAGCCCTCCCAAGCCAGAAACGAAAACAAGGATCATCAAGCTTAGAATTGGAAGAATTGACGTCCGAACAACTCGTCGAAAGATTCGCCGACCATCTCCGTCATCAGCAGGACAGCCTCTCGGAATTAGTTCGACCACTCGATCGATCGTTGATTAGATTACTCAAGTCTAAGTTGTCTGTGAGCTTCACGAGGAAATTGTTCATCATTTTCTGACATTTGATACAAAAAACCTGATATATATATATATGTATTATATGGTTGCAGTCAAATCGAAAAGATGATTTGGATTCACTCGTCCAAAGACAACTTGGCGAAAATCGTACCTTAGCAGACTTCTTATCGAATTACTTCACTTATATCATGCTGGTCCAGTTTGAAGACGAGCCAGCCGTCATCAATCCTGGGTTCCATCACTATCAGAAACAAACTGATCCTATCATCGACCACGATAATAATTTCGACCTCCTTCTGAACGCCTACAAGTCAGCACCAGTTTCCTCATTTTTGTTTTCTCTACAGTCTGAATAAATCAGGCTTCAACTCATCCACTTTATGTATGCTTCTGAAATCGCAGCCCAGCCTCCAACATCTTTCGCCGCCCAGATGCCGCTTATTTTACACGGTCTATCCAACATCTCTCACACGGATTGGTTTACTTTGCTATCAAGGTCACTAATACTCTCATCAACGTCTTCATGAACATCAGAGCCTTCACTGAGACTGATACCCTTTGATATATCTGATAAAGGCAGACCGAAAGAAGCGGTCGACTAAAAAGGAAAAGGCCAGTGAAGCGGCGCGTCAAATGACTACCACCTTGGGTGTGGCTTGCATAGATAGGTATGCTCTTGTGGCATCTCCCTCTTCCTGGCGTTTTGGTGTTCGTCCTTGGTTTTTGACTTGTGTTTTATGCCCCGCGTATCCCTCAGATCCCCCGAGGAACCAAGCAAACGACGAGCAGCTTTTAGTTTGGCGAACGGATTATTCAAAATATATTTCTTCGTTAGTTAGTTCACCTGTTTACTTGTATGGTTTATTGGCTGAGCCGACGCACTACGACTCTCTATCGGAAGGGTTCGAACTACTAACCAAATCCTCACTTTTTCTTCGAAACAAAAAAAAACGAACTTAACTCCCAATAGTTGAATAACATGAGATTATGTGACACGGTCGTGAAAAATATATCCAATGTGCTTAATCAGCTAGAAACTCATTATCCGAAGGCAGAACTGGTGACTTTTCATTACTATCTGGGTAGACTAGCTCTGTACCAGCGGCGACTTCACAAAGTTCAGTTCTGTCCCTATAATTCATCGTCTTACAAAAACTTACTCAAACCTGTTTGATGATCGGGTTGATGATCTGATTAGGCCCGAGAATCCTTGAAGAAAGCATTTGATCTCTGTAAAACTGATAGTTGGCGTAACCGGCGGTAATCATCCCCTCTCGGTTACACCCCCATTGACAAACGCCGTGTTCATAAATTGACTGGACCATTCTTGTTTCTTATCCGCTTATGATATATGCTAGATTGATTCTGACCTACTTGATCGTAGCTTCATTGCCGCTGGGGATCTTACCTCGTCCAATATTACTTGAACAATTCCAACTACAGAATGAATTCCATGAGGTAGTTGGAAGCTTGCGGGTAAGTCAATTCTAAATTGAACTCGTCACGGCCCTTTTTCTCTTTTATCATATGATCAAATTATTCTATGTTACTCAACCTACCATTGTTTATTGACATAGACAGGCAACTGGCCAGGTGTGGTGAATGGACTTGAGAAAAATCGAGACTGGTTTCGGTATAAAGGGATTTATATCTTGTTGCGAGAGAAGTTAGAAGTGATATGCTGGAGAAACTTCTTTGTCATTATGTAAGAAAAAAAAGGACCCCTTTTCACATGTGATACTATATCGCTAATGTAATGTCAATGCTTGATTTAGGGCTGGATTAAAAAATGGAAACCCAGGAATGAGGTTAAGTTTGACCCAATCAGTTGAGGCGGCTAGGAAAGTGTTTATGGAACCCTCGATTGATGAAGACGACATTGTCTGTATGGCCAGCAGTCTAATTGATCAAGTAAGTTCTCCAAACTCACCAGCCGACTAAAATTTTGGAAAAAAATTCCAGATGATTGATGATCACAATGAAAAATTCTGATTGATGTGACTAGGGATATCTTAGAGCATACATTAAGCTTGGCGAGATGATCGTGTTCGGGTCTGTGTTACCTCAGATATCGACTGTGGGGGAGCACATGAACGAAGGCGGCCCCGAGCCTCTCCCGGCCTTCTCAGGAAAGGCAATCCCGATGAGCATTCAACCCAGCAGTGATAGCGATGCTCCCGTCAAATCTTACCGGCGTCCCTACAGCATCCGTGGCGCTAAAAAAATCAGTCATACTAAGAGATTTGCTTGAGCCTCCGTTCCTTCCTTATATATCTCCTTAAACTATACTAATTACTATATCTTTATGGCCGTTTATCTTGAAAATCTACAATTCATTCGTGGGTATCAGATGTGGTTTAAGATTCAAGAAATTTTCAATCAAATGTTTGCGTATACACACATGTTATGATTATGGTACCATAAGAAACAGAGGGACTTGATCAAGTTAGTGACTATACATCTGTGCATGTTCATATGGTTTTGTCATGCTGGTCTCATGGGCTACAGAGTTTTCTTCCTTAAAATTGCCAAGCTGCTGAGAATGGCTGCAGGTATCAGACAGCTTCAGGCGCTTTTTAGACATAAACTTAATGAGAAATGCAAGTGGTCAAAAGCATCAGTCAGATTATTTTGGACCGTTTCAGTTGGCAGTTTTTGTGACAGATTTTTGGATCCAGAAGGTCATGACACCACCCTTGAGGTGCTTAATAAAAAGTAAATTGAATTCTGATCAATTCTGTTCGAAAAGAGAAAAGAAGCTGCTGAAAGGGAAAGAAAACTGAGGTAAAACTGACAACCTTGAATGGAACTTCAAAGAGAGGGACTGTGTGTTTAATCGTGTGAAAAGAAAGAAGAAGGAAAAAGATCAAACTGCCAACATGTGTGGATAAATTGTCTACTATTGGAGCCATCAAGCCATCCTACAATGGAAAGATCCTTGTGCAGAGGAGCCGCAGAAGAACTACCATTGCCGACTGGAATGTGTGGTCTCTTGTTTTTTTTTCATACAGAAGAGTCATAGATGGGGAAGGAAATGGATGGATACGTGTGAAGGACAGTTTACAAGGAGAACTTGGACCAAGTCTTTTTTTTTTCTCTGTCTAGATAGGGTTGTTTTTAAAATGGTTTCCCATTCGCGGTGGGGCTTCTCTTGACATACTTGAGCGGTTTGGCGTCTGGGTAAGACCGTTTGATGATCGTATTAACCTAATTACATACAAGAAGAAAAAAAAAAAAATCATATATGTTAGGGAACTCTGCTCTGATCACCAACACAATCGTTCCCATTTGCCATGGAAGATTAGAGTGTGCAGGAGGGTCGAGAGGACTTACACTGGGAGAGATTGCTGGGGAAGCAGTCACACGCATTATCAAGACGACCAAGAAGATCAAGGAAGCGGCGACCATCTTGTGCGACATGCTGGCGGATTTGGTGTTCGTTCTTAGGACTGAGTCTCTTCGATAAGCTTGTGGAAGAATGGCCTGGTGATGATGGCGCTTTTAGAAGAAGGTTACTTTGAATCGAGCGTCGTGGTATCCTGAGCGAAAGGAAAGAATTGACTTGTTCAGTTGGCTTGGTTCTCTATGGTATTTTTAAGATACGATGAAGACCAAGATCCTAATTACAATGAGAGTGATCAAGTGAGAGTGTGCGGGCTTAAAGAGGCTTGAGACGTCGTTCTATGAATATAAGTTCCGGCGATTGGCAATGGAGAATGATTGTAGACTATGTGTAAATATGTGTGTGTGTTATATTGCAAATGAGCAGGTTTGAGACTTCCTTTGGAAAGTCTGGAGATTGTGATTGATGAAGAGATGGCAGCTTGTTGCAGAAGAGTGATAATAATATCAGAGCAGAAGAGAATCGGCGATGGACAATCAGGTCTGATAAGTATGGGGCAATATCAATCATCAACTGGGCTACATGGGATTGTACTTATAGACGAAGGAAGGGAAGTGGCAAATGGGCAGCAGCACCGCCACCTTCAACCATGTAAAAATTATGTATGGTACATACATACATACCGCTGAAGTTCAGCGCTTCGGGAGCCAGGCAAGACTTGCTTGCACAAGGAGAACTGCTGCTGCTGCTGCACGTGTCTAGTGGAAGCGCCGACGATCCACAAAATGGCTTGCGTTTCAACGGAAGCGTGGGAGGCGCACATATCCGAACCCCCGATCAGACAAGCCGCAACAATATTCTTTTTCGGCCCAGTGGTCGTCGACTCTCCGGAGCTCCCTACTCCGACTCCGCTCCAACCGTGAACACTAGACCTTGGACTTGAATACGATTTCTCCCAGTTCTTGTTGTTGTACATATGATGCTGTAAGATTACCCGAGAGATTTCGTTCCCGTTAAAACATCAGCTCATCAGCATCTCTGGTGCGTGACAACGTCGTCATTTCTCTGAAAAGATGACTCCGGTTAGGCTCTGTGTTTCCGCTGTTTCTAGACATTAACTTATCTCGCGCGCACATAGCCACCTAAACCTTACATACTCTATGATGCACCTTCACCGTCGATCCGACATTCTCTGCGTCCTACGGCGCCGCCGAGAAGAGTACTTTCAAGGGGAGGAATGTCAGGAGTGTGCTGGATGAAGACCGTTCGACCGGCGGCTGGGATCTGACATCATCCGAACCATCGTACGTGGAGATCCCTCTCGTGCGCTTGTTCTCGGCCCTCCAGTATGCATCCCCAACACCCGATGTCTTTTTTTTTTGGTTGGTGATCATCTGTCTCAAAGAGGCTCATGTCTTGAACTCTACATCTGGATGAATCGATGATGTTTTGAGCAGGATTTCGTGGTGCAATGGTGTAGGGCTGGCTAACTTGATAAAGTCGCTCAACTCACGGGCTTCAGAGCCTTTTAAAAGTTTGCCCGGGCCATTAAAAGATGCTGATATGCTCAGGAAGTATATCAACAGCCAATCCTCGTGATCGCTGAGACTTAACTTTCGCACTTTTGGTTATGTATCGCTTCTCGATCGAGATGAACTTGAATTGTCATTCCACGTTACAAACAATCAAAACACAAACACACAAAAGAAAGTTACAGCAGGTCTCCAAGTACTTTTCAGTCTTATCTTATCTCTGGAGTGTACACATCTTTACAAGTTTGGCTTAAAATCCAACTGCGGTAGTACTTCCGCCCATATCTAGTGGTTGTTGGTTTACAAAAGAAAGATAGCATAGGATGATTGTCAGATTTAACTAAGATGTGTCTGATATAATTAGAGAATCACCGACCGTAGTATCGATCCTCGAAAGCTTTCAATCGAGTATCATCATTCCATGAGACGATCTCGGTGGGATCGTCCCATTTGGGGACGTCTTCCGTGGGCTTCAAGCCGGGGTTTTTCCACTTGATGTCTGCGCAGATTGCGGTGTTTCCACCTCCCTGTATGCAGAAGAATGACCGAAGGTCAATCACACTCTAAAAATGGGACAAGAAAAAAAAAGGGGGATGAAAAGTGATTGGAATCGATTGCTTACGTGCAAGAATGGCTGGAGCCCTCTTTCTAACGCTGCTCGTCTCCGAACAGGAGCCGGAGCTTCTAAGATCGCCTTGCCAGTCTCGTCAGCATTCGCTAACATGTCCGCTTCAATCGCATGATCCGCCTCAGTTTCGTTCCCAATCAGCTTGACATTCACGGTTCTAGTTCGTTTGAATCTGGCCAGATGCGGAACAACGTATGATATCATGGTTAATTTTCTCGAATGACCGGTCTAGTGTATATAGAGATGCCTTGATGATGGCACTAACGTTGTTCCTCGGCTTATTCCGCTTGGGATTTGTTTCAGCAAGTTCATGTGAATGAAGAGTGCTGGAAGAGAAAAAAGTATATGAGGGGCCAGTCAGCTTGAAGAAGTCTATGAACAACAAAAGATCTAGTGCCAGTCACTCACGTCGGCCCATGACGTCATGCTGCAACATTGTATGACCACAATATCCAGAAAGAGTGTTCCAAGAGAGGCCGGCAGCGCCGAGGTATCTACCGGGCAGAGCCCAGCGCTTTCGGAGTGCCAACATGGCATATCGGAACACGTCCTTGTCGCCATCCGAGATCTGGAACCAATACTTCCAGTCTTTCAACATGTATTCGGCCAACAGTAAGACATCTAGATGCTTCGATTTGTCAATCAACATTTGCCCGGCTTCTTGTTCCCATTCATCCCTGGTGTCATTCATCATTTCATGTGGTGTAATCAGTCACATCGGGCATGGTTTCACTTTCGAGCAGACGGGCTACGCACCGACATTGAGTTCCGATCAATAACCATACCGGTACATCCGCATGAGTCTTCCAATAATCTAAAAAAAACCAACCGTAACAGTTAAACATCATTCAGTCCAATTAACTCGTTTCCAGATCAAACTGAAACTCAAATGAAATTGATGACCCAACTCACCTGGCCAGAATAATGCACCCAGTTTCTTATACCCTTTCGATTCCCAGAGTGACTCAATCGTTCCTGGCTCTAAGACAGCTGGTAAATTATCACTTTTGGAAGCCATAAACCATGTCAGAAAGATATTTATTAAAATATAAACGTCCCTATTTCGATGGATGTAGGGGAGATGATGTTATGTTACCTGTCGAGATACAATGGTTCTCGGAAAGAACTGGCCACAAGCGCCGAAGCTTTGATGTGCTGAAACAAGGTTGCCAAAAAAAATGTTAGCAACCGTCCAGTGTCAGACAAATAACATTAATTGAATCGAGCGCAAGATGATCAAAATGTTAAGGAAGGATTTGAACTCAACGAAATTCTTGTTCCGATGGACATCTTTCTCGGCCCATTGGACGGTCAAGAACCTCACGCCGAGTTTCTCCATCGCCTCTCGGGTCTCCTGGTCCGGTTTCTCGGACGGGAAGCTGAAGACTTCGACGGGCAATTGGCAGGCCATGTGTTCCCTCAACATCCGCACTGTCAAGAAGACTCGCGAATACGTGTCCTGTATATGTTTTTTTGGGCAACAATTAGGTCGTCGAGATCATTTATCATGGATTGCTCTCTAGTCAGCTTCGTCTACATGGCCTTCTCTTGGTATTCGAAATGAATATATTTTAATAAGTCAGTCCCAGACTCTTACCACGTTCCCTGCCGTAAATACTATGCCTCTCCCGTGCCCATAATTCTCTTCGCTCATCAATCCTTCGCGTTCGAACTCTTCTAAGCTTTGGATCATTTCTTCTCGTTTGTTTCGGACGTGAGTCGAATTCATGGTTGCCCACATCAGATGGGCTCTCTTTTGTTCATGAATGTTGATTCAAACAAAAAACAGACCAAATTAAAAACACAAAAGTCAGGTTTCAGAACTTTTCAACCTTCAAGAAAAACAATTTAAAGAGCTGGAATCAAACCTTGAGTAAATCATAATTTGCATTCTTTCCGACTCGGTCGTCGGGACAGGTTTGGAGATTGAACTGAACCCAGAGAGCGGGTTCCGGGATGGGAGCGGACCTCCACGCTTGGAGTCTTTGGTAGAGTTGAGCGTCGGGCGGTAGGGACGGGGTCGGAGATTGCCAATGGGTTGGACTGTCGCCCTTCAAGGAATGGGTGAGATCCTCTGCCAGGGTGTGATACTTTGAGAACCAAGTTGAGGAGGATGGGAGTTGCCAGAAGGACCAATTCCGCCAGGATGGGTTGGATGGTCGACGGTCTTTTGGGTTTGCTTTCGATTTGGATGGGCGATCCTTTTTGGGATATCCGGATGGATGGGTTAGCCTGTTGGTTGTCGCTCCTTGGTGGGCAGCTTGGAATGCAGGATCCTTGGTCCTATCCTGGAGACTCGTCTGAGGGTTGATGGAGTGTAATCTGTAGACGACCAAGCAGAACGAGATGGACAGGATGATGAAGTATTTCCTGTTCCGAGTCGAGGCTGGCGTGTGACTTGCTGAGTGGTGGTGGTGATTGGACATTGGATTGGATTTGGTCAGTGCTGAGTAGATCGAGCTGGACATGGTTGGTTTTCTTAGGTTCGACTCAGCGTATGAGGGATCCTTGCTGTTGAGTGGGAGCATCTCGATCAACACCTCAATCAAGCAGAGATCAGAGTGTACAGATGCTTTAATGAATTCCCCTGCCCTTTCTTTTGGGTAGGCGAGCTGCTATGTAGTAAACAGCAGATGGGGGGGAACTTCAGAAGGAAGGTTGATGCTATGAGGCCTAGGAGGGTGTGGTTGTTGATTTTCAGTAGTTCCGAATGTAGAACGGATGGTTTGGATGGCCATTCGATCATCATGAAGCTCTGAGGACGGAAAGATATTTATAGGCTACACCATCATATCCACAGCAGTCGTAGCTTTGGCCTCTGGACCCAGTTGACCGACCCCGATCGCTCAGTTCTGTAACGTTGGACATTTTATCTCAACACTCCTGCAATGTCCAGCATGAGGGCATCATCATCACTCATTCGGTATGTTCGCTCAAAGTCATACTAGGGGGGCGAATCCACTGCGGTTGATCGACAGAGCTTCGAGTTCTTCGAGTGTTATGGGCTGATGAAACGGATGACAAATATCCCCCCAAGAACCCCTTCCCACTGGAGCCAAGAGTGTTATATCCACATGGAGATGGATGGACTATATCTCGAGTAACACATTGGCAAATTTTATTATGTAGGCCTTACGTTGTACCCCCAATGTCGTCATAGATCTTATCTCATCTCTGGGTTTCACTTTCATCAGCACCCTTTCACAACAATCCTCAAATTCGATGACGACATTTCGGAGTGCTAATCCTCCTGCTCCTGCATGAGCTGTTTCATCTCTGAGCTCATCGCGTCAAATGTTATCAATTCCCATTCAACACATTTGATCCTGTCTTCCGTCGTCCATTGAATCGGCGAGGCCCGGAGGGATATGTATAAAGTAACATCGACAGACCATAGGGTGGGTTTTGCGTAAGCCTGCAAAAATTCACGAGTGCGTCCCGGGCACAAGGCCACTTTCATTAATCATCACCAAGGAATGGTAATTGTCCAAATTGTTCGGAGCGACGCACTTTCAAAATTTAACGGCCCGGAATTAGGGTCTGCAGTGGAACTGCTCTAAGAAAATAAGACATCAGTCTTGAGTTTTAACTATTTTGATCTGGTCCTAAGAGGACACTTAAGCTTCCTCTTAGCTTATCTCAATCACACTTCAGCCCAATTGATTAAGTATAAGATAGCATAACCTGGACTCTGTCCACTATTGACTTAAGACTTTGTCAATCTTTTCCCCAATTAACAGCTCCATTATTTCATCACAAACCTGATCGACCTGTCCAATCTTACATATAAAGTGTAAAAGAAGACTCAATCTTGACTCAATTCAATCACCAGTCTTCTCAAGTCTTCCAACTTCCCTCAACATCAGACTGCCTCAATCTCAAGACTCGCTCAATCTCTTCCATCAAAGATCAAAAAACTGTTGAATATGCTTATACTCAGTCTATGCTTCTACTACAGTTATGTTTTGGTATTGTATTTAGTCTGCCTCAGGGTGTAAGTGGGCCGGGTTCGGGCCGAAAAACCGTGCCCAAATCCGACCCGACATAAGTCTCGGGGCGGGTTGGGTCGGGACAGAAAAGGAATTCTGCTGCCCGAATCCAAGCCTGTCTTGGGATGTTTTGGGTTCGGGTCGGGCAGCGTCGGGTCTGGGCCAACCCGACATATTTGGTCAAAGAAAAATGAGAGGAAGAACATCATGCTAATTTTTTTTTCATCATCAAAACACTATGGACATGTATATATAGTTCAACTATAGGGCTTTTTTGGGATAAAAAGATAAAAAATAGAAACAAGTCAATCAATCATGTTGGACATGGAGATGAGAATCGAGATTGAGGGTAGGTGAGTAGGTGTATAAGTCCAAGCCGGACTGGTACATATGTGATTTACATGCTGACTCGGGTCCAAGTCGGGTTTCTGGGCCGGCCCGACCAGCAAATAGCCTACCCAAACCCGACCCATGGATCTTATGTCCCTTTCCGGGTTGGGTTCGGGTCATTGAATTTTCCCTCTAAATCTGCCCAAACCAAACCCAAATCCTATCGGGTCTCGGGTCGGCCCGCCCGACTACCACCCTGAAGTTTGCCTGATCTCTGATCCTGGAGCTCTCTCCTCACTGAATACAAACCACATTTTCCTTAGTGTCAGCTCCCAGTGTCACAAGACCTCAGTCTGGTGATCTTCAGTCCTTGCAACCCCTGTGACACTCAACAAAAACCTCTCACATCAACCATCCATCTATAAAAGATCAATCACTGTACCTCTCATTCATTGCTTCAACTTGGTGAGAATTGCACAACAAAGCACCTCATCTCTTCACTCTCTTTTCAAATCATACCTTACTAATATTCTTGTGTTTCAGTCCTACTTGTCCATATTTGTCCTGTCTTTCATTTTCTAGTTGTCAGTCAGAGTATCTGATAAACTCATTGGGTATACTTCTAATCATCTTTTCATATATATATATCATTCTTGTTCATTATCTAATTGTATTGTCGTTAGGTCTGATTGTATTGTCATTAGGATCTGGTTTTATTTTCAGTTGGGCCTTAATAAAAAAACACAGTTTTTCCGCATTTTGGCACGGTTTCGCAGCAGCGAAGCGCACACGGTTTAATCCCAATTTGGACACATTTTTTAATTAATTTTTTAAAGCTTTTATTATTATTATTTTTGCAAATTTTGAATTTGTTTCCTACATTATAAAATGTGTAGAATTTTATGGTATAATACAATTTCAATAAAAACCAATGGTTCATTTTTAATACTGCAATCAGACACTTTTTTTTCAATTAATTCTTTACATCTAATTTCTCAATATTTTTTGACATTTCAAATTCATTTCCCACACTTTGAGACATGTTAAAAATAACGTTAATAATTATTGAGAGGTTTAAAAATTTATGGTCTTATCCTTTTCCAGCTTGCTGGGAGGGGTTCCTCCCTGCGGTGTGACCTTGGCCCCTCTAGGCCAAGAGGGGTCAGTTTCTTTTCTTCTTTTTTTTGAAAAAAAAATCTATGGGGCCGTCCCATAGGACCCATGCCTGGGTCCTATGGGATGGCTGTGGTCCTAAACACATATACATATGTGTTTAGGACCACATATGGATATGTGTTTAGGACCACATATAGATATGTGTTTAGGACCACATATAGATATGTGTTTCGGACCACATATATTTGGTGTGCAGGCAGGCACACCAATCTGCAGATGGTGTGCGGTTTGGAGTGTGCAACGGGGGATGGTGTGCGGTTATCATTCCCCAGATTCAATTGCTTCCCATACCGTTGGAGATGCTCTAAACATCTCTCCTTACCAATTCTCCCCTCTTCTTCTTGGCAGGTCACAGTTATAGATACTACACAAGACTCCTGTAAGTACTACAAACCTGAAAGAATAAAAGCCCAGGGCAATAAACATTGCAAATAGTTAATACAAAGAAATTGATCTCAGAAACATCACCGCTGGATAAATAGCACTTGTCAACTGATACTTACTAGTAACAATTTTCACTACCTACATATATAGAAGGCCAGAGTCTCTTCAAGTAGAAATCTGTGTGAAATATATCTTAATCACCTCCTTTCAAAACAACTACTTACACCACAACCACAAATTCCTTACTTCCCTTATGACTGTTCTGACTCCTTTGTTCTACTGCCTTTTAACCTGAAGATTTAATGTTAGCCAACTCTGAGCCATCTAAAGATTGGTGGCCCTAGTGCAAAGCTTCAGGCAGACACCCATAAGCCTCATCAAGACATCTCTGAGCCGCACCATAGTCATCAAATAATAAACTTACTATCTATTTAGGTAGGGTCTTAGCTAATTGACTCCCAAAAAGTGGAGGAACGACTCCCAAACCCCGAAACCCCCGACAAATCCACTGATTTCCCCAGGAAATGGGAGTTGATCCTCCAAACCCGTCAGTGGTTTTGGGAGTTGAATCCCCCACAAAATTTATTAAAAAAATACCAACCCCCGAGGAGGTTGGTGTTGAGATCTGACCTCGATCCCTCCAGTGCTCTAGCGGTAGTTCTACCAATATTAATGATTACTTAATCCTAGTCGAGTCAACAATGACATCATCATACAAACTTCTGACTGTCATATATAAGCTATCATATTCCGAGTAACCTTGTCTCTCTCTTTTCCTCAGGATCGAAGAACACAAATCATTATCTTCTACTTCTCCATCCTCATCGTGATTGCTCTCTTCCAGTTACATCAAACAATCCCTATCATTTATCCTCTCTATCTAAAGCACCATCTATTATTTCCGTCTCTGCCTTTTTGTGTGCTTTCCCTTCCTCTCGACTCTTCGCCGGCTATTAGCACTCTCTATTATCTCTGCCTCTGCCGACTCGTGTGCTTCCCTTTCCTCTCGACTCTCCGCCAATCTTTAGCACTCGTCTTTGTCTTTCCTATTGTCGTAGGTTATCGACTCAATCATCTTCGTCAACACGAACTCCTATCAACTGACATCTTTTCTCTATTTTAGTCCTCCTTGTTCTTTCCTTCATTGTCCTTCTTTGTCGTTTCCCTTGTTATTGTTGCTCCTGCCTTTAGGTACACATTTTCTTCTTCATTTCATTTGTTATCATCATTGTTTCTTCTTTTATTCATTCTTACTGATCTGAAATACACCTTTATTTTGACACTTAACAGTTGGGGGTCAATGCCCCAAAACCCAAGGGTTTTTGGGCGTTGGCTAACACAAAAGAGCCCAGACATCCAGGAGGAATCTCCCGGCTGCTGATGGAACACCTTCAACGGCCGAGAGAAAACCTCCCAGCCGTCAAGGATGTACACTCTCGACTGACTGACAGAAACCCACTCGGCCGTTGAGAGTGTACACACT